GCTATAAAAATAATTTACTTGGCTTGGGAATTTTTTAAGAAAACGGAGCGCGTCATGTTCCACCTTAATTGTTTTGTTGTACACCACCTTGTTCTTTGGAATGACAATAAAATACATTAACAAATAGCTCAGTAAGGCGTTATAGAGTATTCCATATAAATTCCAAACAGATGTGAGTTGGAGGATAAACGCGCAAACTGAGGGAATATTCAATTCTACTGCAACTTTCATTCACCCAAACCTTCTCTGCTGATCCACACCAAAAACACTCAGATTCAAGAAACAATTGATATAATTTGACTAGAAATAAAAATCCATCCAATGCCTCCAGCCTATGCTGGAAAACGCTACTACATATTTAGCGACAATAAAACATAAAAAATCTGCCATTCTGAATGGGAAAATAGACATGAGGGGTTTATCGATGTTTAGAAGAGTTATGGCCTACTGGTTCACACTTAAATGGAAGATATATTGCTTTAAATGTTGGCTAATGCTCGTTTGCGATAATTTTAATGCATGCCAGAGGTATCAGTCTTGTGAAGAAGAATTAAGGACCTTAGAGAAGCAATTCACATTCTTGCACTTAGTAAATGCGGCGATTTTTTGAATCAGTATTTAGTTGCTAAATATGTAATCCATAAATTAAAAAACCCGCTTTGACGCCCAAATGCACAAATCACTTAAAATTATGATAAAATATAATAAGGGAAATGTAGATAAATCCTGCCAATATAAATCCCCCTTATTTTATAGCATATCCGAACGAAAATAAATCAGAAAAGGAGTTGAATAAGCAAACCTGCTCCCTTTCTTCTAACTAGTTGCAACTTTTTGCCCCGAAGTCCATTTCAAACAGTTTTCACGCTTGTACTTATCTGAGTTCCTCATTTAAATAAAATAATATTTATTTGAATCTTAATCGAATAATAGTATATTTCCATGACTATCAGCAATCTGCATGGGGCGATTGTTCAATAGTTAATGAACCTTGTCTATGAAGACAAGAATAACCACTTGACCATTAACAAACGCGACGAAAAGGAAGTGGTTAAAGATAATGAGTTAAGAGCGTTTATATATTTTACAGTTTAATGTTTATTTTCATACCTTAGCTGAAGATATTAACAGTCCTTAAGTGGAAAAGCTACAAATTCTCCTAAATAAGACAGGCCAATATTTTAACGATCAATGTATAAAATACCCGCAGATAGTATATAGTATACGTGCTCAATATGTCCGTGTCAAAGGCTAAACCCAACACTGGATTAATAAAATGTTAGACTGCGAGATGTGGAAAATATTTGACAAAAAGGGTGCATCGCCATTAATCTTGTATAGGGACAAAGAGAACGTGTGATCAAACTTATTTGATAGTGCAACAATTTTTAGGAGAAAGCACTCGAAAATATTAATTTTCTTGTCTGAGATTTGTTATGAATCCCAATTAATTTTCAATTAGAATCATGATTCCCCAATCTGAGCCTGGAAATAGCCACTAAGCAGACATATTTTTGATAATTAGATCTAAACCCTGACTACTAGAATTCGGAGTAATTAGAGAATGCATTTTCACAGCTTTCTTTATTTATAATAAAAAATGACCGAATTATACAAACTTTTGCAGGATTTCCCTAATAGCATTTCTTGAGAAAATCGCGAAAGAATGCTAGTCATCGGGCATTCACTTGATGCATCGTCTGTTTCCGCCAGCTCGGCTCAATTTTAAAGAACAGACATTAAAAGCTAATTCGCCTGTAATATGCCCAAATAGTTTTAGGATTCCTATGTAAAATTCAATTACGGCACTTAATAAACTGTGAACCTCATCTGAAGTAAACTCTTCTATAGAAATGTTGCTTTAAATTATCCTTTTTCTGCCGAAACAGATAATAAAAGCAGAACAATAGAGATCAGTTAAGTCGAGTTTTAAGATGGTTGTGGAACGTGATGACAATATTTGCTGGAATGTCACACACTATAAGTAAACATATAAAGAGCCCCAAGATAAGGTTTGACAAGTTCGACGATTGATCTCCTTTAAAAAATTATCTTTCGAACGTGCAAACAGCTTTGTTCTCTGTGTAGAGTACCAAGTAAACAATTTATAAATGCCAAGATAAACGCCTTTCATAAATTCAGAAACGCGCTGACTGGCAAGAATGCCGCTGTTAGGAAAATATTTGTACTTCTAATAGGTATCTAGCTTGTTTTTGTTTTCAATGGTTCAAGCAGTTAATATTGTTACTTTAGTTTTAAATCATTGACTAATTTATTTTACATGTTTTCAATCTAAACTTATATATGCTTTTTTTTCAAAATAACTGGATCTTGCAGATTAAGAAGAAGCTCTTGTTATTGAGTTTTCAAGTCCATATGTTTTCTTAATTTTTTTGCCAGCCTCAATAGCTTGTTAAAAGAAATTCTATTGTCAACGCTAAACCCAAGTAATAAGGCTTGAAACATCGCTTCCTCAATTAATTAAAATTGATTTTCTATGCGTCCCCAAGAACATCAGCTTCTAAACGCGATTAACCACATATAAAGCACCAAGTAAATTTCGAGTTGTTCCTAGATAAGAGTCCACAGTTTCCCCAATTAGAACGGCGGTTAAAGAGGAAAACACAGAAAAAGTAGCTGTTAATGGAAAGAGTGTTCTTCAAGGAATTACGGCCTGACATATTGCGCAAACTAACAATTTTAGTCCAGATTATGTTAAGAACAATGGTGGGTTTTCATCTGGTGAAGTGGCTGTAAGAGAAGATGCCATCTAATAAGCAAGGAAAAGAAAAAAGATAAATGGAGGATTATCAAAAAAATTCTTCTCATAATTTCGACCTGAAACCAGCAATATGAATTACTTTATTTAACATTTGCGATTTTGTTTCATAAGGCTAACAAACGATTCGGTGATATGCGCGGATTGACCCTATATATCAGCTTTACAAATCGTTAGTCACATGTCTCTCTTTGATATTTCACCCTTTTAATACTACAAGTGACGCGTTATTGTGAATTATGTATATGGCTTATATGTTTGCCTTTTATCTTCAACATTCGAGGGTGAAATATCTAATATTAGCTAATTTAATGTTTCTGCTGAAGCCTTTCTGATACCAGGGATAATTATGAGTTAAATATTTCAAATCAGTCTCAATACATTATGCTACACACAATTAACGCGCATAATTAACTCATTTGACTTTATAACACGCGAAATAAAATGTAGTTTATGAACGAAAACGGAATATAAATGCGTTATAAAAGTCTTCAAATCAAACTTTCCAGGCCAATTCGTCCACATAAAAACTTGCAGTAACGCACACCGTTGAACAGACAGCCAGTTTTCATCCTCACAATATAAACTTCATTAACGATGTGAGCAATATCCTCATAATATATGTCACAAACTCAAATATTTACCTTAATTTAATACAATAAACACCACAATGTTTGTGCTTGTTTAGCCCTCAATTATCCGTTATTATTTATGGCATTAGCCAGTTAATTTCCGAATATCACCATCTCGATTCGGAACAAGAGAAACTAACAGCGAACTATTTTAAATTGTAATTCTGAGCAATATTGTTTTTGCAAATTGTTTTTTGGCGCTTGAAATAATTGTTGTAAAACTATTTAGATTGCGTTCGGGACTGTATATACAAGGTGATTTCGAGAAATTGTTCAATGCAACAAAAGAAGAGACGTGAATGGATAAATCCGCAAGGAGTTAGGGCGTGATAGTGCTTTAAATTAGAAAATGTTATGTTTAAAATATGCATTCTTCAGTTTTAGCTCTGTTTTCACTGTTCCCATTACAAGAAATCAAAACGTATTAGATCGGGTGAGCTGAAGAGCCATGAAACTGGACCATCAGTGCTATGGACTCGTATTCTTACTCAAATTGATCAAACTTCAATGAATAAATAAATGTGAGTTCGCGTTAGATGAGCGACGATAATCTTACTAAACAATTGCGGATTTTGAGACACTTTTTTACGAAAGCGGAATTTTAATCCATTTTCGGAACGATTGGTTTTTAATGTCGTCAAAAATCATACATCTGCTAACTGAAATTAAATAAATATAATACGTTCTGACTACATTCATTGAACTCAACTGCATCGATTTCTGAATCACGATTATCTTAAAACCCAGTGCTGCTTGGTTCAATTTTTCGGTCGTTAGTATTTTTCTAATACGCCGGAATGGAAAGTTCTAAAGCGAATCAAAGTTTAATGGTCATTAGAGTGATGCGCCGAATAAATTCTATCATTCACCTTAAACTAACTTTAAACATGTAAGAGTGGCAAAATTTAAACAGTCAAACAGAAAAAGTTAAATTGACTTTAAAAATCTTTTAGAACACCCCAAAAATCCCGATATTCTTAAAGTTTTGCAGTAAATATATGTTTAAGTTGTTTTTGATTTAAGAAACGACGTCTAAAAAAACTTTTATTTAACAAGGATACTTTTTGAACAAAAAAGGAATTTAGAAGCCACTTTTTGTCGAACTACTTTTACTTCTTTTAGCAAAGTCATTTAAAAGTTTTCGAAGTGTTTGATACAGTAATTTCGAAATTTATGCCTGAGCTATCACGTACCTTCAGGTGCTTTGTAATTTATTTATTGCCGGCTTAATAACACAAAATGGGTCAATAAAAAATAATCTTGCCATTGGTAGGAATGTTTCAGCATGAAGGAGGTCTTCAAAAATATTAAAGCCGTTTCCTGGATGTAAAACTTTCGCATTTAGCAAATTAATATACTCCATTCCCTAATATCTGGAACGCCTCACAAGCTAAATGTTGGTTTTGCTAAGTTTTCAACTATGGCAATAAGATTCAGTTAACATAACTACTTAAAACCCCACACTCTAAATAACAGTTATCTTCGACTTCATAAACGCGCGCTTAATTTATTTATTTTTACTGTTAGAGCAGTAGATGATTACAGAGATAATTCCGCACATGCTAAGTATCAGAAAAGTTCTCACTCACCCGAAACTTGACAAAATCTGTTGGCATATGAATTCTTCAATAAGGCTTTGTCGCTGACCTGTTAGGGAAATTATGCATATTTTCTCAATAGAATTTGAAAGTTTTTAGAATATTTTATATGAAATTGGCAATGGAAATTGGAGTAAGTTTTTCGATTTGATAAAGGTTTTGTTTGTGCGAAGTGGACGTGATTTTTATAATACTAATATAAGGTTAAAATTTTGGAATGGTCATGTCATGAGGAAGAAATCCTAGGAAAACATAAAATTTTAAAATGCGTTGTTGAGTTATGCTTTTTCCAAATTATTTTTTGATTTGTTATAATTAATTGGGCAGGCCTCATTTACCGGGGTAATACCGGGTATAGTTAATTAAAAAATTTGTAAATTCACTCAGCAATTTTTCCGCTTCTGATCCGCTGTTCTTATTGAATATTTTACAGCGATTGCTACTACTTTTTTTTAATTTTCCAAAATTATATGATGATTTCGAATAAATAGTGCTAAGAAAAAGTTTCAAAAAACTTTGCCAAACTTATTATAAAGTTTTCATTTGTATCAACGGGTATGTAACCACGTGGTGGGTAAACCATCCGAAAGGCACTACATTTGCAGAAAACACACAAAAAAAAGATCATCTACCAAAGCGTACCCAAAATTCGGCCGATGAAAGTTGTAGCAAATTCGCGAACTCTACCACAAGAAGGTGCCGGAAAAGAAACTTCCGCAAAGAAGTTGCGTGCCGATTTACGAAGTCCGGAGCGAACTTTGGATACAGAGTTCGCCGCGAGTTCTAGTTGGGCACTGTGCCGAAATATAGTCTAAGCGTGCCACCGCGTTTGAAGACGCGCAATGTTGCCGGTCAAGTTTTAAAGTTAACCGAAGTGGTAGTTTTTGTTAATTTTCAATGAAACAACTCCGCTCTATTTAATGAATATTTCGTTAAATTGCTTTTCGCCTCATAAAATCTCGAGCTGCACCAAAACTGCGCTTAATACCGCATCAAGAAAGACGCCCAGTTTCACGAACATGCATGAAAAGTCCTGAAAAGAATTTTAGCACTTTAAATAGCGATGTACAGTACTTTTAATGTATCTAAACCAACCAAAGGAGTTTTGTATGACCGGCCAAATTGCGTGACAATGTGCTGCCCAAATACTTTAAGATCGTGAAGTTATTCTCAATCTCTACTGCCTGGGCAAAAACCGGGGGAAATATTAAAAATTAACTTGATGGTATTATAAAAATTGACGAGATAAATTTAAGAAGCTTAACAAATGTGACATAATGTTGAAAAGATGGCCATCATACTCCACTAAATTATGAAAAAAAATCTAGTTTGATATTTTTGGGATTTAGGAGATGGAAGCCTTTTTTTATATTTCATCATCATATTTATATTCATTATATTCATATTTATATTACATTCATTTTTATATTTTTATATTTCATCGCTGTAAGTACAGTGTTTCCATTTGCTAGCAACGCAATAGAAACAAAAGTATATTCGACTTCAACATTATTTCAATAAAATGGGCATCATACGCTAATGGATTATGAAGACAATTTTATTAACCGTTTTAATTTGAGTGGATTGATTGAATGGAGTTATTATCGATTAATCTGAATTTTTGTCTATATTTTCAAACTTAAAAAATCTCAGCAATTACATTCTCTGGGAGAGAATGGAAATTTTAGTTTTACGCTTTTTCTGGCTTGGGAGTCGAAAGCCAGTTTATATCCATTCAATTTAATGTTTCCATATGCAATCAGCATGAAAAACCTAGATAGATTTTGACAACATTTTAATAAAATGACTTCTACTCTATCCTAATGGAATATGAAAACATTTTTTTAAATTGCAGTGGATTGACTGAATGATGCTTTTGTCGATTTAATTAGTGTTTTCCGAAGTTCAAAGCAATTTTATATGTATTTAATTAGAACCTCACATCTAGAATTTTTCTGTATGCAAATAAAATAGTAAAAAAAGCCAAGATCGATTTCGACAATATTTTAATAAAATCACCATCACACTCCAATGGATTATGAAGACAATTATATTTACAGTTTTCATTTGAGTGGTTTAATTGAATGGACACTTTGCCGAATTAATTTGTATTTTGTACCATAATTTTTCACTATATTTTCATCCATTAACGCCAGTAATTGTACAATCTGCAAGATTATGAAAATTTTGGTTTCCGATTTTTCGGGCTTGGGAATCGAAAGCAATTTTATTTCCAATAATATATATAACTCCCTCGTAGCTACTATTTTTTTGTATATGCAAGCAATACAGAAGCAAAAAGCCAAGATAGATTGCGGCAATATTTTTATAAAATAGCCATTACAATCTAGTGGATTATGATATTTATTTGAGTGGATTGACTAAATGGAGCTTTTGTGGACAAAAGATGTTTTTGATCTAGAGTTTTCGTCTGTATTTTCATGCTTTAAAAACCTCAGCAAACACATACTGTGTGAGATTATGGAATTTTGCTCGGCGATTTTTCGGGTTTCGGAGTAGAAAGCAATTTAATATCCAATTAATTAGAACCTCGAAGAAAAACCAAGACTAATTTGGACAATATTTTAATAAAATGGCCATCATACTCTAATGGGTTATGAAGAAAATTATATTTGCCGTTTTTACTGGAGTGAATTGATTGAATGAAGCTTTTATCGACTTAATTTTGATTTTTCGGGTTTGGGATTCTATTTAAGTAGAGCGTCGTACATACAATTTTTCTATATGCAAGCCGAAACAAAACATAAATTTCGACGAAATTTTAATAAAATGACCATCGTACTCTAATAGATTACGAAGAGCAGCAGAAGAAAAACCAAGACTAATTTGGACAATATTTTAATAAAATGGACATCATACTCTAATGGATTATGAAGAAAATTATATTTGAAGGTTTTAACTGGAGTGAATTGATTGAATGAAGTTTTTACCGACCTAATTTTGATTTTTCTGGTTTGGGATTCTATTTAAGTAGAGCGTCGTACATACAATTTTTCTATATGCAAGCCGAAACAAAACATAAATTTCGACCAAATTTTAATAAAATGGCCATCGTACTCTAATAGATTATGAAGAGGGGAAATGTATTCAATTTCCCAACTATTGCAATTGGGAATACAAGCTAGATACAATTTTCTTTAAAAAAATATACCTAAATAAAATGTTTGTTTTAATTCGCATAAATTAGATTTAGTATCGACGAATTCTTAAACTATTTACTACGGCAGAAAATATATAAATCGAGGGCTCACTAAAAAAATTGAAGATAAAAAATATATCATGAAAACAAGGAAACTGTGGTAAAGATTTAAATGTTATAATGCCGTTAACATTAAAATTTTACCATTAACATTTTTTTTATAAACATTTAAATATTATTTTTATTTGAAGAACCGTGTGGTAAGCAAAGTTAATGAAATTTTCTCTGTGATAGAGAATATGTGATTTTCAAAAATTTAAAGTATGGATTTTAAACGCCAAAATTATATTTGAAAGCGATCAAATAAAACTTGTCGTTGGACGATTTTTATGTGCAATTTATGCAACAGCATTATGTAAGGTTTCTTTAAGACAACCTCGAGCGCATTCAACACCTTTTATCCACTTGTAAATGTAGTGAAAGAAAGTAGGTGATATTCCAAAGGCAAGTTTTGACAATAAAACAAAGTTTCAAGCGTTGATAAACAAGTTGGCAGGTGGAGTAATTCGCTGAACTATCTTGGTAAACAGGAGCAAGAAAAAGGGCAAAAAATTGTAAAAGTGAATATGGCAATAGGGCAAGAGCACGTCGTGGGAGCGTCGCGGCGCCTTGGTCGCTCCGCCCCTCAAACAAACGCGACGACGGAGTAACTGTTGCTTTTGCAAAAGTGCCCCGGCACCCCCCATTCGCTTACGGAAATCTGCACAGGAATGCAATTTCATCAAAGCATACAGCGCTGTTCTATTCTCAGTCCAGATCACAAGGCTCGGCCACACGGAAAACAAAGTTATAAGTCTCGGTTACGGTTTCATTACACTAGCTCAGACGGCACGCAGTAGGTCTATGACATGGGATTACAATATAAATCCTACTTCATGGATCTTAAAATTTCAACTCTGGTATTCTTCCAATCCTATTTGGCTTCATCCAGACAGCTACGCGACCAGAGACCGAATTCTCCTAGCAAATATTCATAAATATCTAAATTCCGTTTTTAAAATATCCTTACGGGAAGTTTTCTGAATTATTTCGTGGCTGTTTATCTTTCCAGGTAAATAAACGCTTTATGTCTAGTTCAAATAGTATTAGCCATTATTTACGAATAACCCGTTTTTTTTTGCTTGCGTAAATGTTTTATGTCGAGAAACGCTGAATCAGGCCTTTCTGTCGCCGGGTGAACTGGCACGCGCTCGGCACCAGAGACCTTCTCGACTCAGATTACAATATAAATCCGAATTTTACCTCAATTTGCCGATGCTTATTTAAAGCTTAAGGCATCATTCCATGCGTTCACGATAAAATCTGATAAAGCTTCCTAAACTGATTACTCGGCTATTATTTAATAACTCTTACCGCTATTAATTGATCGCTTTAGCTAGTTGAATCCACAAGATAAATGTCTAATTTCCTAACAAAATTTGCTACAAAGAAACTGTAAAGTTGGGAAATATTAAAACTAATCCCGGAAATGCACGTAAAACATCAACAAATGTAAGTTAGTGGGTTAATTTATATTTGGCAGAACATATTTATAGCCCCGTATATTAACACTATTCATCAAGGGATGTTGGGATCTTGATCGTTGTTTCAGTTCTATCTCGCGTTCATTACTTATAGTATATTAGGCATCTCAAGAAACCGCAATGTAGCCTGGCTGTATATCCCGCTGTTGCGAAGCCCTGCCCTTGGGTCTAACACTTTACTTAAACGCTCTTATTGCATGGGCGTCCACATATTAAATCAGCAAGTATTCTTGACCACACACCAAACATTGCCCTGACCTGCGAGTTCTTTTAAAATGTATGGACTTTAACTCTCTCTTTTCTGAAG